ATGGACATAGAAATCCCTACCCAAGGATTGGAATATTGGAATACTTTGCACCATACACAAGAAAGAAGACATCTTTGAATGTTCTAACCACAGAGGAATTACGCTTCTAAATGCAGCGTATAAAATATTTTCCACAGTACTATATCACCGTATGGCACCAGGTGAAGAACGGTTAGTAGGAAAATACCAGGCAAGTTTCAAAGGTGCTAAATCGACAATTCATCAGATTGCAACCCTGAAACAAATTTTAGAAAAAACACTGGAATATGGTATTGATACTCATCACATATTTATCGACTACAAAGCAGCCTACGACTCTATGAATAGAAGAGAAATGTTCAAAGCAATGAAAGAGCTAGAAATAACAAATCAGTTGGTAACAGCGTATTTCCTGTAATTCTTCTCAGTACTCTTATCTCTGCCGTTTCCAGGAGCCTTTGCGTTGTGGATGTGTCGGGTCTTGTTTCTGAGCATATGCCATTATTGGTCTTAATGTTAATGTGTCTGTTTCGCCATATAGTGTTATTAAGACATCCTGCCAGTCTATTTGCTTTTTGTACTTGATCTCTCTCTTCTTTATCCAGGTCTCCATAGCTAGGCAGTGTAATTCCAGGTATTTTCAATACTGATGCCATCCACTCCTATTTAACATTTGGTGGGTTCTTTGCTGACTACTATTGTTTTAGTTTTCTGAGATGAGATTGTCATATTAAATTATTTTGCTCTTATGTTTGTAACGGCCAGCTCATCCATTGCACATTAGAACCACTCAGAAGTGTTGTTCGGCATAAACTAATTAATTTTGGAGAAATAGGAAAATTGATGTCTTGATAACAGAGAATTAAGCATTTATACACAAATCAAAGAAAGAAAGAAACTTAGCTTAACTTCCATAAGAGATCCTGCTGTTGCTCTCTTCTCAACTCGATCCATAAATTATCTGCATCAAAAGCATGCCTCTAAACCAAAGCCATGTGGATTTTCTTAAATCAAAACCATGTGCATTTTCTTAAATCCAAAACCATGTGGATTTTCTGAAACCTAAACCAAAGTGGCTGGAAAAACAAAAGCCGATATAAAATTTGTCATGTCACGAGTTTTGTCCAACAACAGAAGAATTCTAGCAAGCGGAAAGCTCTTCTCTCTAAGACCTGCATACCGATTCAGAATTCTCTGATGTTGCCAAAACTCACAAATTAGGAATTGCAATTAATATATTAATTATTAAATAAAAAACGAAAAAGTAAACTTGTACGATTCATACTAATGAGATTTATATTGAATTATTATTATTACAGCAAGTATAGGTAAAAAGAAAATAAAAATTCTAAGCTAAGGTTTTTAAGTACTAGCGTACACAAAATTATGAGAAAAACTAACAGTGTTCATGTTCTTGATTAATGTATGAAAATATGTTGTCGTTGTAAAAAGAACAAAGTATTAAACTTACCCAGACTGTTGGAAGTTTCTGACCACGAAAATTTATTTTTATTGAGTACCTTGTTGTTTTTGTTTTGTTTTTGTTTTGTTTTTATTGAGTCGGATTCATACAAGTAAATTATTTAGTAATGGGGTTTCTGTTTCTTGTATGACAAAGTAAGCGCAGGTACAACTACGAGGGGACTTAAGAAATTAATCGGTGAATTTATTTGTAGTAGGAAAATATTGAAATGAAATATAGGAATAAAAACAAAGGAAAAAGAAATTATTATCAACGAGAATTAAATAGTACGACCAGACAATAATGGAAAGTACTTTGAAATCTGAATTGGATTGATTGGTTAGAAATTATTTGAATCAAAGTCACAGTAAAATAAAACACGAGTGATTCATGTGGTTTATTTTTTCACTGAAATAATAAAGAAAAACATACACTTGACTTCTGCGCACACAGGGTGGGCTCTGCTTAATGTTACAAACATAATAAGTTATATGAACCTTCCACAGTTATTATTAAATTTGACATATAAAGAATTAGGAAACTGTATTGAAACATCTATCATTTGATGTAGTATATCAGCCTTTTTATTTACCAAAAATATATGAAATTATTTTGATATCTAAAGAGATGATATATTTTTAATATTACAGAATATACAAAGAGTAGACATACTCCATAACTACATTTAAATTAAATATTCATTGTAAAAAGTAAATTTTATGGAAGGAAACAGGACTTCCCGATTTACTCTTCGAGACTGCGTGAGGCCGTAGGAGGTGCACATAATAAGTAAGTGACGCATTCACGGCACACTTCGTAAATCAAAAACTATCATAAATCTTATTTAGTCTCTTGATTAGATTACGACTATAGGAAAGAGACATCCTTATCATCACTATATTATATATTTTATTTACATGTTTTGTTAACACTTCATAATCATTATTGATTTTAATAGAGTAAAACAAAATTGTAGGTCAGTGAATAGTAGGTAAAGTTTTCCCTTTTGAGAAAACTGAAAAAATACAAGAGAACTACCAGAGAAAAGATTATACAAAATAGTGTTATAGAAGAAGATTATGTAGAAATGATATGACAGAAAGCTAAAGCAAATTACTTACAAATTACAAAGTACTTTTAACTCAGGGTATGGATATGCTCAGTAACGCTTGATTGGTGTTAAAACTTGCTCAAGAATTAAAGAAAAACTAAGTAAAATAGCCAAAAACAAAAAAACTGCAAACAATGAAATATTGACATTAAATGTAGAACAAAAGAAACCCTGTAAAACTGATGAGATCCTGAAATTAAGGGAAACAAAGAAAGAAGAAACTAAATGGCATGAACATATTATGTAGTTACAATCAACAACCAAATTAGTAGAAAAATCAGAGATGCAAAAGAACTCAATCATATATGAATAGAGATTGAAATATCTCAAACAAAACATAATAAATTAGATGTATAAAATAATCTCAAAGAAGTAAAAGGAAAATTGATAAAAAAACAATAGCAAAATTAAAAACGACCAATGAGAAATTTTGGTCAAAACTACTATCCAACCCTTCTTGGAAAATAACTTATAAGTACGTTATGTCTACTAAAAGTACTATATCTTTTTGAGTGAAGACTGTTTTTACCATATAAATCAGAAACTTTGTATTGGGGGACGTTTTGGAGAGGTTTCCATCGATAACCAGCCTCAAATACTTTACAAATATATTTTCAGGTATAGAATCTACATACCAGAGATTGGACATTAAGTAGTAAACATAGAAGAGTATAGGCTATTCCACGAAAATACGACTGTTTTGGTTTAATGCGACAACGAATATTTTACTGTGCAAGTAGAAGTATGAAGGTCAATTGGTCTAATCATTATTCCAATAAAAAGGGTCTACTAGTATGACATCTAAACTAAAATTATTTCAGTTAAAATCTACAAATAAATACAATGACGTCTATGAAGTCAAATGTGTTCATCAGACATTTGGGTAAGCTTTCTCGTGAAATGTAAACACCGAAGAGGCGTGCCGGGTTTCTTTGATATAACACATTTCATTACTTTATTAGGTATTACAACTGTAATAAAAAGAAATATACCATTTTTAATATAAATAAAAAGAAATTGGCAGAACGTTGGTTCACAAACCAGAAAAAGGATCTAATATTTCACTTTGTTAGTTTTAAATATTTGTTTGCTTTGAGTTTATGTACTCCTAAAAGTTCCGAAAGTAACGGGTATAACATACCGGCTATTGATAGTTAAAGTACCGAGTCACAGATATTAAAAAGTAACGAAAATTTATATACAGTTTCATATATCGCCGACTGATTATGGCTGTGAATCTGATCGCTGATGATAGTTTTAGAAGATTAAGAGAATAAGTGCATAAGTAATTTTTGTTTGTTTTTTTAATATTAATTGAATATTCGACTAAAAAATTTACACTATTTGATCACTTAAGTATTGTTACATTTCGTTTAAATCACATAATTCAAAAATCGACTTGTTTACAATGAAATACTTGAAATGAAAAAATAAACTCCATGATAGTAATTATATACTTCAAAATCTGAATTACAACTGTTTTATAAACTATTAACTTGTATATTTATATCATGACTTCATATTTAAATCTAAGGTTTATATCTGTCGTAACAGTCTTTTTAAAATGGGGAGAATTTACTATTGTACAATTCAGTACATTGGACCATTTAAATTGACACCTTAAAGCGAATTTAAAAACAGTCGTATATTCGTGGAATGGAGTATAAACTAAGTATTTGACAACCCCCTCTGTGGCTCAGTGGTAAGAGCGCCTGCCTTTAAATCTAAAGGTCGTGAGTTCGAATCCCACCTGGGTGGAAATTTTCGTTTATTAAAAAAATTAATAAATGAAAATAATTTCTATCCTTGTGTGATCGGTACACACCGGAGGGACCGCAGACGTTCGGATACAATTAGCGTCTCTTAGCAAAGACAATGACGTCGACTTTGCTAAGTAACAAGACAATTACTCTACACACACACACACACACACACACACACACACACACACTACACCTCAAATTGTAAGATTGGCGAATGGATTTAGTGTCCGCAGTCATTTAAAACACAAACAAACAACAAACAATAAGTATTTGACGTCATTTCAAGCCCCCATGCCTTCATCAGACACTCGGGCTAAATACAAAATCAAACATGGAATGTCAAAGAATGTCTCCTAATTGTTTCCCACCCAAGTGGTAGCACTTTAGGTTGTTTTTCGTTCATGGCGATCAAAGTAGATGGCATTTTTGTACGTTTCAGCAAAAATAACGGTGTTATTAATAATAATAATATAGTGGTTCGGTCTCTAGTGTAAAGATATGATCCGTTCTTGTTATAAATTGATCAAAAACGAATTTGTGTCAACAATCGCCTGATAAATATACATCTGGAACTACTTTCTTTTATCACCTTGTTCTGCATATCTAGTTTATTCATTGTGAATATTGTTTTGTTGATTAAAGTAAAATGTTTGAGAATATTTTAACTAAACAACTTATTGTTTTAGGAAACCTGCAACCCGAAAGCTTGCCAACGGAATGGCGACAACCAGAAGCCAGTTTGCGGCTCAGATGGTCTTAGTTATCCCACTAGATGTATATTTGAAAAAGCGCGGTGTCTGAATAAAAATTTAACGATAGAAAAACGAGGACATTGTAAGAAACAACGCAGTTGTTCGGAATGGACCACATTCAATCAACAAAACCCTGTATATAATGTAACGTAAGTACAGTAGGATTATTATTGGTTTATAAAACTTTGGTTTAATCTATTTAAAGTATAAGAGATTGGTTTCAATGTTTTTATTTACACTTATCTCGTTGAGATGTTAAAACAGTTGAAAATTAAACAGTGCTAAATCTGGAGAATAGAGTGGATGTTACAAGAATTCGTATTTTAATTTGCCGACTTTCGCGATCAAGTTTTGAGCTGTGAAAGAATATGACTTGATAGAAATATAAGTCCTGAATAGTGCTTCACTACTGAAATCTCATAAACTTAATAATTTCAATCAAATCACAAATTTTCTTTTTCACTTCATCTTATTACAAAATCATATGCTCGTATTTGTTTCAAAATCATTTTGTACCTGTTAAAAGTATTTTAAAATTATTGATAATTTTATTTTGACAGTTTTACCCCAAATGCCGTCCAGACGGTACTTACGACTCAGCCCAGTGCCATTTGGGCGCCAACTTTTGTTGGTGCGTGACTCCCGAAGGAGTACCCCTACCGTACACGTCTTCGAGACGAAAAAACGACAATAAACCTCCGAGATGCGGAAGAAAGAAGTCGACGAGAAGAAGATCGTCTATGCCCAACAGCAGGCAGAGACAACAGCAGAGGAATAGAGTATGTAGGAGACCCGATAAATCGATGTTGAATAACAATTTGATTGATAGTTTTCATACCGAATTTACCAGGTAAGTTTTTCTCTTTCCATGTCATATGTTTGTTACAAAATGCCTTTATTACAGCCTTGCCTCACTCCACGCATGATTTTCACATAGTCGGTGTGTTCACCTTCAACTCTGAGATTTGCTCTCTGATTCCAGTAAAGATTTTTAATTATTTTCAGATCTTGGTTGTTAATTCCAGCTTTTTTAGAATTTGCATTATCTTGACATACGTATACGTCGCAGTTGACATCTCTGCATCTCTGGACTAAGACTTGTACTGAAAACAAAGCCTTTTCTAGTACCACAGCATTTGTGAACCCTAACTGGTTGGAGAAATTTAACTTTCCCAGAACTTGTAGATTCTCTTATGAATTATTTTTAGGAAAATTTTTAGGAGATGACTCATGAGACTTATAGTACGGTAATCTTCGCATTTTTTGGCTCCTGGTTTTTTTGGAAGTACAATAAACTCAGATTTCAGCCATTCTGTTGGTATTTCTCCAGAGTTGTATATTGCTATTGATTTATTGTCCATTAGTTTAAGTAGTTCTGCTTGTATATTATCAGGTCCTGCCACTTTGCCATCCTTTAACTGTGGTATTGCGGAATAAACTTGCTGCTGTAATATTCTTGGTCCATCATTTACCTCTTCTTCTAGCTCAAAGGTGTTATCTCTTTGGTCTTCAAATATTTTTTCTATTTGTTTGCTCTACTTGTGCTTCCTACGTACTTGTCAGTAAGTGGGGGATTGCTTATACCGGCAATCGCTCGGTGAATGATTCGCCACACTGAAGAGTATGAGGTAGAAGGAAATAGTGATCTGAAAGAAGTTGAAAAAGAATAAAATGTGAAGGCCCTTATGGCGCGCTAGGTGATTTTCATAGCGTATGACTATGAATACACTTTGTGTTCTCGCTTATACCTTGGGGTGTTGACTACAGACTGTACGGCTTGTCCAGCATGCCATAGCATGACAAAGATATAGATGGCCTCAATAACTTAATTTATAGAAAATATGGAGACTGCTGGTTTTGCTTCTATACATCTCATATTATTGGATAATTTGGTAAATATAAGATTAAGGTTAAATTAAAGTGTCACGATTATTAAAGCCACGCTTTTGTTGCAGAAGCCTTAGGGTAATTCGAATTCGAATTACCCATTTATACATTCGTCAAAAAAAGATGAGTCGTTATTCTCCTTTATCTACTTGTTCTTCCTACTTCATAAATAGGCTTAATGCCTGTTTTACTTCGGTTTTTAACCTCATTTGACGTTGTCTAACTATCTTTTCCTCGCTCTTCCCAATGATCTTCTTTCATTTGACGATTTGTCTCTTGCTATTCGTACTATTCTATTTTCTGTCATTCTTTCGATGTGTTGATTCCATTCCACTTTTCTTCTTTTGCTCCACGCGTTTATTTTCTTTATACCACACCTCGCTCGGATTTCCTCACTTCTTACCCTGTCTCTTAGAGTTTGGTTTGTTATTTTTCGTAAGACTTTCATTTCTGTTGTTTCCAGCAGTCTTTGTGTTTTCGCCGTATCTGCTCTTGTTTCCGCTGTGTACGTCATTATCGGTCTTATTGTTGATTTGTATATCCTGGTTTTCATTTCCGTTGTGTGGTATTTGTTTCTCCAGATTGTTATATATCACTATCGCTTTAGTTTTCTCTATTGAGATAACCATGCTGTATATGAGCGCTGTATCTTCGAATTCTTTAATTAATCTTTGTAGGTCATCTTCATTTTCAGCTGTTATTATGGCGTCGTCGGCGTAGCATATTATGCTTCTTTCCTTTTCTCCCATTCTTTCTTTCTTAATGATTCATCCATTATCAGATTCAATATTATGGTTTTTACTCAATGGTTTTTACTATATCCAGTGATATTCCCTTTTCATATAATAAATGTATCGCGTCCTGAACGCTCACTCTATCAAACGCTTTTTTCAGATCTATCAGACACATATATGCTAGTTTGTTATATTCTAGCGACTTTTCTTTTATTTGTCTTATTACAAAAACTGCATCCGTGCATGATCTTCCTGTCCGAAATCCTTGCTGTTCCTCTTGCAGAGATATTCGTTCGTTTATTTTTGTCGCTATTATTCTTGTTGTCAATTTGAGTGTTGTATTTAATAGATTTATTGCTCGATAATTATTGGGGTCTTTCTTATCTCCTTTTTTAGAACATCGCCATGATCGCTCTCCTCTATTCATCTGGTATTCTGTTCGTGGTGATTATTTTACTAGCAAGAAGTTGCAGTTGTTGTACAAGGTGATCACCTCCATATTTTAAGAGTTCATTTGGTATTTGATCTTCTCCTGGTGACTTTCTGTTAACTGCTTAACTTAGAAAATATCCTGTTCCTACTGGTAAATAATGCATTTCTTTTAGCATTATTGCACGGTGATCCTACCAGTATAAAATAAGCATTTTTACAATATATAGCAGTTGTGTCAAACGGGACGCAAAGACAAATTTCAGTTGAATTTATTATTTTAGGGATTCAGGAAGAAACGATAGCGACAATTTCGTCATAACGTGGAAGTTTCAAACGCTTGACCAAAACAGCGATCACATTTTGGACCGGTTCGAGTATCGAGATCTCCGAAAAGTCGTTAGAAAAGATGTAAAGCCGAGAAAGTGTGCCAGACATTTTCCGAGGTCTTGTGACATCAACAAGGACGGGAAGATAAGTTTGCAGGAGTGGGACAACTGCTTAACTAGAGGAGTAAGAATGGATCTGGACGGTAAGTTCTCTATTTTATATATATTTTATAAGTAGTGAGAGTTTTTTGACGTGAATTATAAGGTTACTGTTTTTTTTAAGTTATAGTCAGTAGGTTAAGATCCTGCCCACGATAACCTTATTCTTCTGGCAATTTCGGCAGTTTGAATTTCTTTGTTAACTTTCGTTATCTATATCAGGTAGATGTATTCGCTTACTGTTTCTAAATTTATGTTGTTCAACGTTATTTCTCTAATGTTCGGTATATTTGTTATTATTTTTGTTTTTTCCAAGTTCATCTTAAGACCTACTTTTTCAGAAGCTTGAAATAGTTGCGTCATCATGGTCTGTAGTTCTTCGAAACTTGTAGCAAATATTACAATGTCATCAGCGTATCTTAAATTAGACTAAGTTTCCTTTTATTAACATTTATTCCTTTATCTGCCCAGTTAATGTCTTTGAACACGTCTTCCAGTCCAAGTGTGAATAGCTTTGGTGAGATAACATCTCCTTGACGAACTTCTCTGTTGATTGGTATAGCTTTGGTGTACGCATATATTTGTATTTTCATTGTAGCTTTCTTGTAAATATTATGTATGAGAATTCTGTATCGGAATCTCTCCTGCAGTTGTTCGTAGCTCTCTTTACTGCGCAAAGGTCTATGGAGTCGAATGCCTTTTCATAATCAACGAAGCCAATGTATAAGTTCAAATGATATTCATTGGCTTTCTCTATTAGAATTCTAGAAACCAAATTGACTACGTTTTAATAAACAGAAGATTTCGTAACGCTATCAAAAGAATCGCAGCATATCCAGGTGCTGATATTGCATCCGATCATAATCCGCTAATAGCAGATGTGAGGTTAAAACTAGCAAAAATTAAGAGAACAAATACAAATACCAGCACACCTATAAATACAAGAGAACTGATGAGAGACGAAAATCTGAAGAAGAGTTATGCGAATTAAATTAATGAAAGAATGCGAGTAATAGAACAAAATGATGATATCGAAGTGATGGTCAATGATATTAAAGGAACGATTCTGGCAGTAAACAGGGAAGTTAAAACACAGATCAGAAAGAGAAAATCATAACGAATGGATGACGGACGAAATTATGGATCTAATGGAAAAGCGAAGGCAACATAAACAACAACGTAATCAAGACAAATACAAACAGATACACAAAGAAATCCGTCAGAAAATTAAGAAAGCAAAAAAACGTTGGATGGTGGAAAGGTGCAACGAAATAGAACAATTGCAGGAAAAAGGAGATAGTTTTGGACTACATAAGAAGATCAAAGAAATATAGAATATACACAAAAGCCACCACAGAACAAGAATACGCAACGACAGAAACGAATACATAGAGTCAAAAGAGGAGATAGCAATGGCGTGGAAAGAATACGCAGAAGGCCTTTTTAATGACGAAAGACCAACACAACCAACGCGCAAACTTCCTTCCGAAAACTTATCAGGGCCATCAATAATGCGAAGTGAAATAGTATATGCAGTTAGAACCACAAAGATGCATAAAGCAACAGGTCCAGATGAAATTTATATAGAAGCAATAAAACTACTAGACGAGGAGAATATCGAAATCTTGGTAAGGCTGTTCAATAGAATTTATGATACTGGTTATATTCCGCGAGAATGGCTGCAGTCATCCTTTGTGATGATCCCAAAAACAGCTAATGCCACAAAATGCAATGAACACCGCTTAATCAGTTTAATGAGTCACTTGTTGAAACTCTTCCTTAGGATATTACACTCAAGAATGTACAAGATACTAGAAGAACTTAGCGGGTCAACACAATTCGGTTTTAAGGGAGGACTAGGAACAAGAGAGGCAATTTTATGTTTGAACACCTTAATACAAAACTGCTTAGATCAACGAAAAGATGTCTACCTCACCTTCATCGACTACGAGAAAGCATTTGACAATGTTAAACATGATATCATGATGCAACTACTACATAGGGCCAACATTGACCAGAAGGAGATCAGAATTATTCAGAATCTATACTGGAACCAAATGGCAAAGGTGAGGATTGATCAAGACCAATATACGGATGAATTTGAAATCCGGAAAGGTGTCCGTCAAGGCTGCATACTCTCTCCGATGCTTTTTAATTTATATGTTGAAAATATATTTGCGGAAGCATTAGAAGATACGGAATTAGGCATTAAGGTGAACGGCATACCAATTAGCAACCTACGCTATGCGGACGACACAGTGATTATAACTGATATATTTGGAAGATCAGCAGTTATTACTTGATAGGGTGAATAGCATAGGTAAAAAATATGGCCTCAAAATCAACATTTTGAAAACGAAATATATGGTCATTAGCAGAAACCCTCCAGAAAACCCGATAATATGCATAGGTGACGATCGTATAAAACTTTTTAATACCTTGGCACCACAATCAATGACCAATCGGATCCACAACACGAGATAAAAAACCCAAATACAAATGGCAAGACAAGCTTTTGTGAAATTCAGACCGCTCCTATGTAATCAACACCTAAACTTCGAAATACGCTACAGAATGGTCAAGTGCTACATATGGTCCATCTTGCTTTATGGCATGGAAACGTGGACTTTGAAAAAAACATCTATCAACAAACTTGAAGCATTTGAAATGTGGTCATTGAGAAGAATGATGCGCATACCTTGGGTGGATAGAGTTCGAAACGATGACGTCCTTAATAGAGCCGGCGTGGAAAGAGAACTCTTTGAATTAATTAAAAAACGCAAGATTGGTTACCTTGGGCACATATTGAGAGGAGCAAAATATGAAATACCACAGTTAATCCTACAAGGGAAGATCGAAGGTAGGAGAGGAGCCGGCCACAAACAATGATCCTGGTTAAGGAATATTAAAGAATGGACAGGAATACACAATACAGGTGAGCTGTGAGCCGCCAAGAACAGAATTCTAGTAATGAGATAGTCGCCTACGCACTTTGGTGTATGGCATGTTAAGAAGAAGATTAGAATTCTGACTGTAAGAAGATGATTCGCTGTACTCTAACCCTTTCGGAAATCCTGCCTGCTCTACCGGATGATAGCTATCGAACCTCGACGGTAACCTGTTAGATATTACTCTCATAAACAGTTTGTACATTTGGGACAGCAGGAAGATTGGCCTATAGTTCTTCAGATCTCCCCTGTCTCCTTTTTGAGAGAAGTATTGTCAAACTTTCATTCCAATATCATCTGGGACTTCTCCTCTGTGAAGACATTCGTTGAAAAAATTTTCAATTTCACTCCCCTCTTTCAACATTTCTACAAGTATTCCATCTGAGCCCGGAGCCTTATTCTTCTTTAGTTGTGTCATAGCTTGTTTTATTTCGAAGGATTCTATGTTAGGGAGTATTTCTGAGTTGCCATTCGTTATCTTTCTCTTAAGATCTTCCTTTGCAGTGTTATCTGGGTTCCTGTTTGAGGAATATAAATCACGGTAAAATGTTTGAGTAACTTTTAGGATTTCGTTTTTTTCTCTTATTTCTTTTCCATCTTTACCCTTCAATGAGATTATTATAGGCTTTCCTAAGTTTGATCTTAAGCATTTCTGGACTCGGTTCTTTTATATTCTTTTTCTACCTCGTTTTCATTATAGATTCTTAAATCTTCCTTTACTCCATTCTTTATTTGTTTATTCAATTCTTGGTGTTTTGCTTTGTTTATTTGTATAAAACAAACCAATCGTTTGTTTTACTAAATCATTGGTGTTTCGCTTTCCTTCACTTAGAAATGTGCGACCGTTTTGTTTATTCACTTATTCGGTCTTCTTTATCTACCAATCTCTTTATCTACCAACTTCAAATATATTTCTACATCATCCTTCGTTACATTAGATTATTCACCAGAAATATTTACACAAAGAAAGGCATCAAAATTGAACTTAAAGTCATTCATGATTAAAGACAATAAAATGTAAAAATGTTCATTTATTTTTATTGTTTAAAAACAGTAATCTTTATATACAGAGTAACCCAAAAGTCTGGAAACGGCTAATTATCTCGTAAAATGCTAATCATAATTGTACAAAATTTGGGGTACACCTATTTTGGGATACGGAGATTCCATATTTGATATTTACAATGTTGCCAGATTTGCCGTTTTTCTTATATTAATTAGTAACTTTGGTTTTTCAAATACATCGCCCTGTATATTCAGTCATTATTGGAATCCCCTGTTCAATACGAGTTCAACCATTTGTAACACTTTTGATTTTATGTAATCTGGAAGGTCATAAATACATAAAACCGAAGTCTGGCAACGCCTCAATTGTTTCAATAAAATTTTTAATACTATTTTCAAATACATAAAAACGTAACAATTGATAGTTTAGAACATTTTTTAACATAGTAGTTACGTTATTAAGTGTTCAAAATGTGCTCAATTTGTGAGTTGACAGCACCCTAATCGATGGTAGAAGGCGTCTACCACATTTCTCCATGATTGTCTAGAAATTATTCGAGATTCATTGATAATACTTTGCCTTAGCTCTGCAAGACTTGCTGGTTAAGTTTTGAAAACTAAATATTTTAAGTATCCCTAATAAAAATAATCTTTAGGATTGAAATCGGTGTGAACGTGGAGGCCATTCAATTCTACCTTGTCCACCAATTTATGGTCCAGGAAATATCTCATCTAAATATCGCCGAACATTTACACCAACTATCTGACGTTAAATTTCTGTCGACAAAAATGGACTCAATTGAATAAGTAACTACTATATCTGACCATACATTTAATTTTTGTGGTCTTTGAGTATGGTTTTCGCGCATTCAGTCTGCAGTGTGAATTTACGTCACACCAGTACCTTAAATTGTGTCGATTTACATTTCCACACAGTGTAAAAGTTGCTTCATCAGAAAAACATATTCTGTTAACGAAATTTTAATAATTTTCAATTTTATTTATCATTACTCAGTAAACTCTAATCTACGACCAAAGTCATCTTCACTTAATTTTTGCAATAAGTACATTTTGTATGATTTAAATTTAGT